TTTTCTGATAAAATTGAAAAAGTATATTACAAACACCATCAACTCAAGTGAAATATTGAATTACTCAGCACACATATCATTTCGATTTATGTGGTAAGTCAATGGTGCATTTTTTTTGCTAATGTGGCAATATTGTTGTTCACATATTCAAGATAATAAAATATCAATTTAAATTATAATTTTAAAAATTAGTTTAATTAATTAACTTCTAAAAAAAATTTATCTCTCAATCATTTTCTCACATTGCCTTTTTCAAAAACTTTTTTACCTGTCAACAATTTTGCTTCCTTGCTTCTTTCTTATAAAAGATTTGTGATCAATTTTTAATATTTTTCTTTTTTTTCTTCTTTTAAGTTTGTAAATCAACAAAAACTCAACAACCAAAATACTACTAATCTCATTCATAGCAATTAGATTTGTAAAACTATAAAAGTTCAACCTTGAAATAAAATCACAAAATTTTGAATCAACAAAGATTCCTTTCATCTTTATCTATGGCAGAGTTGAGGTTATTTTAATTTAAGGTAAGATTTTTTTTTTAAAATCAAAACCTTAGAAATATAAAAATTAGGGAAAAGTTTATGGTTTTGGATATTAAACATTATTTATTGAGAAATCAAAGTTTTGGATGTTTTTTGTTTTGAAAAAAATCTTGAGTTTTGCTTGAATTCTTTTTTGAAAGCCTATAAAAAGAAAGATGAGTTGTATTCTTAAGATATTCACTTAAAAGATGGTTTACTCTAGAATCTTCGGATTGTGGTTTTGCTTTTTGATTTAGCTTTTTTGATATATTTGGTATTAGTTTTTTTAAATTAATTTTAGATTTTGATTATTATTTGAAACTATATCTTGATTAATTGTTTTTGAGTTTTGAATTGAAATTGTACTTGAATTTTGATTGTTTATTGAATTATATCATTTTTGATATTTTTTTAAGCAAAAAATTTAGAAATAAAGTATAAATATATTAAAATATTTAAAATTTAAAGAAATTTCATGTTATTTTTATATGTTAAATTTAATAACGTATGTATTTTATAATCATATTTTTATTTAAAAAATCTTTTTATTATTATAAATTAATAATATTTAATCTTTATTTATATAAAATCAGACATTTAATTTTGATCAACCAAACAAACATTTAGTACTAAATTAAGCATTTAGCCGATCAAATTTACGGCTGAATTCCCATATTCTCCCGATCGTTCTACAATATGAATTCAGAAAAGTCCTCCAATTTCTCATTCTCTCTCCCTCTCACTAAGTCAGCAGACCCGTCGTCCTCTTCACCTACCAAGCCTTTTGCGGTCAAACCGGCCCGTCGGTGTCGAGTCCAACCATATAGATTTGACTCCTCCTTCTCCCTCACTATCTCTCTCACTGCTTCCCCTTTTTTAGCCTTTTCTTGTTAAAGATTATCAACAGATTGAAGCTTCAGGTCTCACGGTCATCAAGCAATTTTAAAGAGATAGACCCAAATTAATTCAAGGTAACATTTAGGTAGTCAATTGGGTAGTTAAAATTTTTAGTTTTTGATGAAAGTGACCTATTTCATTATGGAAAATAGTGATCACCTGAGTTAAGAAAAATCATTAATTTTCTTTTTCTTTTAACTTTTTATTGCATAAGTTTAGATTATGCTTAAGGTGCCCAGTGAATTAGACCCATTTTTTAATTTCAGTTCTTTGGTACTTGAGCTGTCGAATCACTGTTTAATATTTAAGGGCTCAGAATATTATTTTTGTTGCTTCAAAGAGTTAAAGGTGAATCAATGGTAGCAGCAAAAGTTGCCCATTTCTTTGCATTTGTTCACTGTATTAATTATTATGGCATTGAATTGAAAGCTTTTAGTTGATACTGGGTTTGGTTTCTACTATAGTTATGTGGCTGTGAGATGTAAAATTTCACCTTTACTGGAAATTTGTTCAAGTTCATTTGAGTTTTAACTTGTTTCAGAGTTTTATGAGGCAATGCAAAATTCGGATAAATTTAAGAAGTATTATTTTATACACTGACAATATATTAGATAGTTTTTTTAAGTTTAGTTTGTTCCTTGTTTCTTTGGCCACAAGGGATAAAAATGTTCATCCTTGAGACACAGATTTTACTATTAGAAGAATATGTGTTTTACTTCTTGATTAATGGCTTCATGTGGTCATTTCATCTTGATAGCATTCCCTCTAAACAAAAGGTTTGCTAGAGCTGGACTTTTACAGGGCTATCCTCATTTTGTTGTTTATATGTTGCGCTCTTTGCTGATGCTTATGTTTGATATATTATATTGCTTGCTTTCATTCCACTAGTGAAAAAGATAAAATGGTAATCCTAAATTCAATGAAATGATAATGGCCTGTAATCAGGGGCAAAGTGAGGGGGGTGGCTGGGCTTACCAAATTTTGTGCCACCAATCAGTTTGTTGAACTCTATAATTAGTTAACTTTTTAGTCCAAAACTTAAGTACTAATTAGATTTTCTTTTGGTATTCTTTATCTAAGATTACAGTTAAATCTTTAAGTTATGAATTTACCTTCTCAATCAATCTAATAAATATGTTGACACTAATTATTACATCAAGACTTACAAAAGAAACTACATTAAATTAAAGAAAATTTAGTTGCTATAATTTGCAAACAAACTTAATCGACCATGTAACTTTCTTCGTTTATTAGATACCTCCTATCAAGCTTTAATTGTTTAAAAGTTATGTAATTACTGTTTTATCTTTAAAGAAGAAATTATTAGTTTGATCTTTTTTTTTAATCCTTTATGTGGACAATATGAATAACAATATGTGAATATATATATATATATATTACTTATTAAAAGAAATTTATACATTAAATTCATTTGAATTTAGCACACTTTTTGTTAAAAGTTATCTTTACTTAACATTTATTTTTATTTTTATACTGGCACCCCTAGATGTTTGCACCTGTCTATAAATGATGTCTAGTCTTAACCTTTAAATGAGTATCATCAAGTTGCAATAGACAAGAGTTATTAGTCGTATCCTTTGAATGAGTATCAAGTTCCAATAGTCAAGAGTTATTCAGCATAATGATAGTTGAAAGATTCATGCTTTCTTTCTTTGAGGCTTCTTTGAAACAGAATGCTGAATTGATAGAACCGAGTACAAAGGTGAACTCTATTGCTATTCCCATGATCTTTTGAAGAATGGCTCCCAATCAAATAAATGCGTGTCTTTTCTTGAAATTAGGGATGGCAATGGTAGGGTATACAAGGGTATCAGGCACTATCCGACCAATTTAATTAGGATTAGGATACCCTATAAACAGGTTTAGGTAGGGTATGGGTAATAAGCTTAGGGTATCCACCACCTGAGCGTGATTATAAATAATGGGTTTTTTAATTTTTTTTTAATATTTATATTACTTATAGTTGACAAATCATTTACTACAATTTATAAAGTGAAGGGATTAACTTACACCAATGTAAAACTAAAATGTTTTATACTTTTTTTTTAACCATTGATTTCAATATATCCAAAGGATAAGAGAGTCAAGTGAAAAAGAAAAAAATGATTTAATCTCATCCCTTATATCTATTAAAATCAATGGATAGAAAAAAGTGTAAAATTTTTTGGTGTAAGTTGATCCCTTCCCATTTATAAATGATCTATATGAAGTATATTTTTAAAATTATTAATTTAATTTTGATTAATAAAACATATAAAAATAATTTAAAATATTTTTTATTATTGAATTTGGCCTGGTCGGGTTTTTTTTAAAGGGTACACGTACTCTTTTTAACTAAATAAAGAGTTTTAATAAGGTGTTGCTAAACAAGTTCGGATAGGGTATTGGTATTGCTTTTGGTAATTGGATTTGCATATGTGTATCTCAAAATTAGTGGGTATCCTAACCGTTGTCATCCCTGACTGAAATGGTGATCTCCATCTAAGCATCTTTTAGTTTTGGAGTCAACAGGCTGTTGTAAGAAACAATCAGGTTTTTCTTTACATTTGGCTCTCTCTTTCACTTACAAAATGACGTTTACACACACTGGAAATAAGTAGGAGAAAATTTTCCATCTACTCTGCTGATAATTAATTTTACTGGTTATTTTTCTGAATTTAAGGGAGAAGTTGAACTTCTCAACCTAGGCTTTAGATTGCAGCTTTGTATTGTATGAGAAATGTTTTGACCTTATATTCTTTTTAGTACATACTTGTGGGTACTGGTTAAGATGCTACATATCAGAAAATTTGTTTTTGTTTTAATTTTTTAATACATTGTCTAGATTCAGATTGGCTGGTATGTTGCTCAAGTATATTTTCTTTGATACACATACCTTCTTGAAAGTTATCATGGATAATATTGTTTTAAAAATATAAAACATATGTTAATGTAGTTCATTGTTTATGCTTGTAGGTGAATGGTAGGGGCAGTAGCCCCAAGAACTGTGCCTCAACACTCTAGATTTTGTGAAGCCACATCATCTCACTTTTTCACTAAAAACCAATTGCCTGTTGCTACAAGTTGCCTAGCTGCAAGTGTAAATGAAATGAAAATTTGACCATGATAAGAAATGGTAAAACATGCTTTTAAAGATTTTAAAATACTATACCATCGCACGCTCCATATAAAGAAAATGGAAAAAAAAAGAGGAACTTGACCTTTGTCCTTTCCGTTGGCATTAAAGGAGCTGGAAAGTTCTCGTTTCATGTACAATATTTACTATTGAATTGGATACTAGGTAAGAAAGTACTATTTCTTCAACTTTTTACTTCTATATGTAATATGATTTTTTTATTTAAACATGATTCATTCTCTCTCTGTCTTTCTCTCTCTCTCTCTATATATATATATATATATGTATATATATGTATCTATATATGCGAGTGTGTGTGCGTGTGTGGTGTGTAAACTACATGTTAATTTTTTAGTAAAATAATTGTGTATGAGAAACCACAAAAGGAAAAAGAAAAAAAAACTTTGAGTAAAATAATTATTTATCTACATATAGTGTAACAATTTAGGATTTAGATGCACTTAAAATTGTGTTATGTTTGACAATATCAAAATTTCTTCACAATCATAATTAAAATAGAATGTGCACATAATTTCAAGAGGATAAATTTATACTAAATTTTTGTTGGAATTCTTTTTAATATCATACCCTTCTATTTCAATCCCCTGTCACAAATTTAATTACCAACAAATGTATTTTTGTTTTTTTTTACATTAGATAATTTGGGTAAAATGATTGCCTATTTTTCTTTTCCATTTTGTATAACAGGAATGCTTTAATAGTTGCATAAGTCTAAAGAAACACCATCATTTATCATTTTCATTTTATGCAATGCTAGGAATTCATGGGAATGGATCTTGACTTAGATTCAAATGATTTACAATGTGGGAATGAGAATCCAGTGGATTGTGAAGAAGATGTTGATCATGGAAATGAGATTGGTAATCGAGATACTTTTGAATGTAATGACAACATCGACAAAGGCCCTGAAATTGGTATGGAGTTTGATTCACTGCAGAGTGCTTATTCATTTTACAAAAATTATGCCAAGAATATTGGATTTGCTGTGGCAACTAAGGCTAGTCGGCGATCAAAGATATCTAGGCAATTTATTGATGTGAAATATGCATGCACAAGACATGGATCAAAGAGGGAATCTAATGCTGTTAATCCACGACCTTGTTTGAAGATGGATTGTAAGGCGACATTACATATCAAAAGAAAACAGGATGGGAAGTGGTTTGTTCAAAATTTGATTAAGGATCGTAATCATGAGCTTTTTCCAGCAGATTCTCATTTTTTCCCCTACCATAGGAGAATTAATTTCAGCCAAAAGGTATGACATCAGTACTGTGGATGATGTTGGGGTGAAAGCAATTAGAAGTTATGTTGCAGTGGCCAAGCAACATGGTGGATATGAAAATATTGGCTGCTTAGAGAAAGATTTTAGAAATCAGTTAGATAAAGAATGCCGTTTAGCGTTAGAATCAGGTGATGCTAATGCAATGCTTGAATTTTTCGTACACATGCAAGAAGAAAATCCAAACTTCTTCTATGCACTGGATTTGGATGAAGAACATCATTTGAAAAATATCTTTTGGGTTGATGCAAAAGGTCGAGAGGACTATCGGGAGTTTGGTGATGTTGTCTCTCTTGATACAACATACATCACAAACAAGTACAAAATGCCTTTCACTCCATTTATCGGAGTGAATAATCATCATCAGGCAACTTTACTTGGATGTGCTTTACTTGCTAATGAGTCAACATCAACCTTTACTTGGTTAATGAAGACATGGGTTAGAGCCATGGGTGGCAAGCTTCCAAGTGCAATTATAACGGATCAAAACAAAGCAATGAAAGCAGCCATTAAACTAGTTTTCCCTAATTCAAGACATCATTATTGTCTATGGCATATATTAAGAAAGTTTCCCGAGAAACTTGGTTATGTTCTTAGAAAAAATGAAGATTTTATGGGAATTTTCAAAAAATGTATTCACAAGTCTTGGACAAAGGACCAATTTGAAGAAAGATGGCAAGCAATGGTTGAAAAGTTTGATCTTATTGAAGATGAATGGATCCAATCATTGTATGAAGATCGTGAGCATTGGGTACCAACTTATATGAAAGATACCTTTTTTGCTGGGATGTCAACAACTCAAAGGTCAGAAAGTATTAACTCATTTCTTGACAAATATGTGTGTAGGAAAACTACATTGAAAGAGTTTCTTGAGAAATACGAGGTGGCTTTGCAAGATAGACAAGAGGCAGAAAATCTTGCTGATTTTACAGCATGGCATAAGACACCAGCTTTAAGAACTCCATCACCTTTTGAGAAACAGATGTCCATGGTGTACACTCATGGAGTATTTAAAAAGTTTCAAATTGAAGTTTTAGGAATATTTGGGTGTCATCTTGTAAAAGAGAAGGAAGACGAGAAAATCTTGACCTTCAAAGTCTTAGAAATTGAAAAAAATGAAGGCTTTATTGTAGAGTGGGATGCATCAATGGAGGAGATTTCTTGCATATGTCGTTCATTTGAATACAATGGTTTTCTTTGTCGTCATTCATTAAGCACTCTTCACTTCTTGGGTTTGTTTAACATCCCATCTCGCTACATAGTAAAGAGTTGGACTAAAGATGTTAGAACCAAATACAAGAAAGGAAGTACATGTGAAGAAGTGCAATCAAAGAAGCAACGTCGTGATATTTTGTTTCAAAGAGCTATTGAATTGATTGAGGGCTCTATGTCTCATGAAAGCTATAATATTGCACATCAAGCATTGGGAGATGCCTTGAAGCATTGCTCAAGTGTTAATCATTCCCTGAAATTGAGTGATGAAGCTGCATTTGGAGCTAATGAATATCATGATCTTTGAGGTATAGTTCTATGACATGGCTTTTATTTATAAGATTTTTTTATAATTACTTTATTGACTTGGTAATCTTTATTTGCAGGCCAACTTCAAAATATGAAACTTTAAATTGTATTTTTGTTGACTAATCTTTTTCTAGGTGTATTTTTTTGTAAATAAAATAGCACCTATTTGGTAGATTTTGAAATGTAGTACTAGCAACAGAGAATTGGAGGATGCACTAGAAATTCTACTGTATTTCATGTTTTGTTGTTTATTGGTGGAAACAATATTTGTATGGATTGTACTATCAATTACACTACAATTACACTACAATTACATAGAAACTTTGAGTGATAGCATAAGGGCAATTTTTGCATTTTCTTAGGTTACTCTTCTATATTGGGTTCAACAACTTAATTCTTTTCAACTTTTAATTTAGCTGGTGTTTTGTAATTTTCTTTTCTGCGTTTAATTTGGAATCTGGTGGATTGTGCTCAATTTCTCAGTTGGAAACTAGAATTGAGCAAAATATGTTTTTCAGCAGTTGGAAAAAAATGAGTGAACCCGAGATTTATTTGATGTTATTTCTTAAAACTAATTATACGAATAAATTAAATTAAATTAAATTTCAGGGATGTTATTTCTTAAAAGCAAAATTAAATTAAATTTGGAGTTAGAAGCGCATTTTTAGTCTTTACAAGGAAATTAGATGCTCCTAGCATTGCCTATGCTGGTAATGGTAAGTAGTCATTGTCCATTGATTTGTTGGTGGCTTTCTACAACTATCAGTCTTTGTTATCTAATTTTATACTACTATAATTTTGTCCATTTAAAATGTTCTTTTGAGGTTATTTACCTTCCTTCTAGTTAATAATTTACTTTTACTTCCTTTTTCTTTTGCAAAAAATAGAAAAAATAATTGGTAAAACATAAAAAATAAAAGACAACAACAAAAAGCAAATACTAAAAGCATAAATCAAAAGAAACTTTATTTATTTTTTTGGTAAATTATATAAAATCACTTTGTAGTTTGAGGTGAATTTAAAGTGACTTTTGATATTTTAATTATAATATTTAATTATTTTATGATTTATTTTATTATTTTTTATTCGAAATGTGACTTTTTTTGTTATTTTCAAAATATTTTTTCCTTCTTCTCCGATAGTTCACTCTTTGTTGAATGGACTCCAAACAATGTGAAGTCCATCCTTAGTATACACATTTATTGGGAATTCTACTTCAATCCAATAGATGTTCAGGAGGGTCCCCTGAGCAATTCACTGCTATGTTCCGCAAGAAGGCTTTCTTGCATTGGCACACCGGAGAGGGGATGGTTGAGATGGAGGTCTCAGAAGCTGAGAGCAACATGAATGATTTGGTCTCAGAGTACCAACAATACTAGGATGCAACTGCAGACGACGAGGAATGCGTGGAAATGGAGGAATAAGGGGAAGAAGCTTGAAATTGATGGAATATGCTTGCCCCAGTGTTCTTGTAGCTTGTAGGATATTTGAATGCTTTTGTTGTGCTTTGAATATTTTTGTGCATGTGCAGTCCATTGGTGCAATCTCACCTTGCCTGTTTCTGGTGTTTAGATCACTGTATTGTTAATTTTCTCTCGACTTGTCTGCACAATTTATATACCAGTTATATTGCTTTTCTCTTTTTATTAGTAATTTCAACAGTATGTTTCCATGGTAAATTCAACTTGAAAATTTTGAAGACAAATAATTTAACATCAGAATTACTTTATGTCATCAGTCCTATTTCAAGAATCATTTTAATTCTAGTAAGTTAAAAAAAAAAAAGAAGCTACAGCGACATAAGTCTATACCTATGTAACTGACCCTCGCCACCACACTCAAAGGTCAAAGAAATACAAAGCAAAAGGTACGAAAAAAGAATGCTCTGCTACAATCCTCCACTGGATTTTGCTAGTCGGGTTTTTGGCAAGGAATCAGTAATGAAAACCTTCTTGGAGACCTTAAAAATTGCAAGATTCTTCTTCCAATATTGCAAAATTAATATCTTGAAAGGCCTCAGCTATAATTAAATTATTTTGTCCAAAATAAGTAAATGAAACTCAAATTAATATAATAATATTTGAGTTAAGTTAAATTAAATTTGAGTTAAAAAAAATAATGTCATGGTCCCATTTGAGTAAAATTATACTCATGAGCATTGTAGCCTTACGCATAAAATAGTTATTTTTCAAAAAATACTTTCTTCTTTTGAAAAATAAAAAAGATAACTTTTGGAAAAATGATTTCATTTTTTTATTGATCAAAAAAGTCATTTTTCATTGATCAACTAATTTTCAAATCAAATAAACACAAAAAATTTTAGAAAATCATTTTTTGCAAGATTTTTTTGTGAAATAAACAAAATCCAAATTAATTTTCTGCCAAACAAACATAAGATGAATTTCGTATAAGTGGCTGCAAAACTTAAAACATACAATGTGATGCATGTCTCTCTATATTTTCCATTTTATATTTATGAATATAAATAAATATGCAGTTTAATTATTACATTAAAAAAAAACACTTATATTACACCTGTTTTCCCAGATATTGAGCCATAAGCCCTTAAGATATTGAGCTATCATGCCGTACAAGTAACAAGCCATCATATGTACGACAGTTTGATTTCAATCCTTTTTTTTTCTTAGAAAATGAAGACATCAAGAACCAACCACATAGAGCCTAAAATGTTAGTTTTTTGCCTCAGTGTTACAAATATAAATCACCCTGTGCCTCTTGAGTTCATCTAATTAATAATGCTCCAAATAATTGATTAGATTCTAAACTCATCAGCATGCTATATAATTGACTATATGCATATTGGAACATGACATTCACAAAAACCAAAATCAATAGAAAGCAAAAATAGAAAATCCATAAGCAGAAACTTCCAAACCGAAAACCTCTTTCAATTGTTTGATAACAAGGTAGAGACTATTATCTATGGAAAAACCAGACAATTCAAATCTCAAATGTCATAAACAAAACATAAAATATAATGCCCAAAATACAAAATAAGAATTATACCAACCCTTATAGGGATAACTATCGAGAAAGGATATCAAAAATGAATATTCTCAGAAATTGGTCTCAATAGAAGAAGCCAAGTACTTTTCCACCAACATTCTTTCTTCTGGCTTCTTCATGGTCCATGATTCCAGCAGATGTGGTGAGCACAATATAACCAAACTGCAATGATAAAACACATAAACGCTTAAAACACAACCCTCATTTCAATTGAACAAACCTTCCACAAACATATGTCGGCTACAAAAACAGTAAAAAGACCAAATAATGATGCATAAATCCAAGTTTGTTTCCACCTTCAAATTTCTTAATCCTAGAATATACTGCTTCTTCTTAGGAAATAAAAGAAAAATTCTTATGAAGACATTACAAGCAGAGATTAAACATCAACAAGTTTCTAAGCTAACCTGTCTTGAAGGAAGTAACCTAGCAGTCCAACCCTCAATCTCCTTGACTCCAACATCAAAACGGGGACTGATCACTCCGCATTTGTTCAGCCTTCCGTTCAGTTCAACCACAATTTTACCAGCTCTGTGATCATCAACATACTCAAACTCTCCAATGTAACCTGCAAAGCAAATAAAAAAGTTAACGAATCAGGCATCTTCATATTTTCGTAGATCAGATTAACACTATGAATGAAAAAGAGAGGAGATTATAGGGAGACAAACCATGCTTCTGCATGACCAAAAGGAACTTGATGATGACTTTGAGGAAGGCCCTGATCATGACCTTGTCGTTTGCCCCTCTTACGTCAGCATTGTACATGCTCTTAAGCGGCATCATTCAAAACGCTGACCCTCACCACCTTCTAAACAAGCTGCTGATAATTTTTTACATCCCAAAAAGTAACAATTAAGCATTTATTCACAGTTTCAAAAAGTAGTGACACTCCAAAAATCAATACAAAAAAGCATATCATTCTTCGAAGTTACTTGCAATTAGCTTCTAGCATATCTTATTCCAAAATAGAAACATAGAAACTGAAAAATTCGATTCCAACCAAAACCCAACTTTCTTTCTAACTAACATAAGGCAAGCAGAGGAAAAAGTGTTGAGGGCACCAACATTTTGGAAACATCAGAAAACAATGAAGTCATAACTTGCCCAGAAGCCAAAAACCTTTTCAGTTTCATTTTAGGACAGAGAATAAAAGATCAATAACATACAAATAGAAGGTAAGTAGGACTAAACTTAATCAATTAGGAAAATCAAAATCCAGCATACTTGCTATCAGATTTCATTCAAAGAACTGATAAATTAGAGAAAACAAAAGAGATATGTTTCAAGATCTAAAATTAGAGAAAGAAAAGAAAAAGAGTGTTTAGCTGACCCGAAGGCAAAAATGGCGGCCGCTTCTGGGTTGTTTGAGGAGAATGAAGAGAGTAAAAGGCAGAGCTTAGCTAGGGTTTTGGGGGTTTATGAGGGCCCTTTGAAAGTTAGCTTCTGAAGTCGTAGAAGGGCTCCTTAGGCCCAAAATATAGCTGGGCTTTATGATGAAGCTATTAGTTACAATTTAAAAATATATCGTAAATTTTTGGCAAAGAAGATAAAAATACCTTGGACAAAATTTTAATAATCAACTAAATTTTTATCATTTTTATTATAATTAATTAAATATTTAAATATAAATTTTTTATTAAACTTTTATTAGAGAATATTAACCGTCAAAACTTATTTTCATCAAATCGAAAACTAATTGAGATGAAAATAAATATTTAAATATTTAATTAATTAAAAATATATGTTTAAAAGTTTAATTGATCAAATAAACATTCCAAATATGATTAATTGTAATAAAACATAAAAAACTTAAATGATTATCGAAATTCCGTTTGAGTTTTTTTTTTTTTTTTTTTACCATTTTACCTAAATTTTATGTGTTTCCAACTCAATTTAAAAAAAAAAAAAACTTAATTTGAATATTTCAGATTAATGACACTAAAAATATCTCTTAATTTGAATATTAATTTATTAATGTCCATGCTTTTATTTATTTATTGATAGTAAATGGAATTGATTCAACTAAACTCAAATCAAGATTATAAAATAACTTTGGGAGAAATCTCTAGTTTTTTTAACTCGAGATAAATCTGAAAAATACCCAAAAGAAATTGGACTAATAATAAAACACGGTTTAGATTGGATAATTTAGAATACATCATATCGAATTACCTCAAGACAAGATGCGATAACTAATTTGATTAATAGACCATTTGGAAAATTTATTCTACTCTGACTCACTGGATCCCACTATTTACCGGAACTTACTTGGATTGGGCAGAGGGATTACCTCTCAACCTTACCACCTTTCAGAAATGCAAACATCCTGCTACTGGGGCCCCACATGTTCGTTGGCATTGGTAGACCATTTATAATATAT